TTGTTAACTTCGAACGCAGCGCCTGTTTCTGTTGCGCAACTTGCATAGTACAGTGACGGTTTAATCTTTTCTCCTTCTTGGTGTTGCAGTTTCCTGGAAACACAATCAATAATGCCGTTAAGACGTTGTTGAAAATTTGATAGACAGTTGCACAACTTCGAACGTGGCCGCATTTTAGATTTTCGTGAAGCAGCAAGACGCTCATCGGCGGAAGGCGCTAGAAAACAAATGCTCACGGAAACGAGGAAAGATCAGAAGATTGTGTCACATGCCCAAACGGTGTAATTGTCCGCTATTTAACGTGCTACAGCTATCTTTCACCCGTGGTACCTTCCGTCATCTCATGGCGCTTGCTTGAGGTGGATTTACGCTCACAGCGGCATTGAAGACGTCTGCCTTTATCTTCAGAATACCGACAGAGTCGTCTGGAGTGGTTTTCGTAACTGATCATCGTACTGCCAACCGACTGGCATCGTTGTGTAGTATTAAGCGTAGAGCTCAGCGATGAATCTCCATTCAGTCTTGGAGCAGATGACGATCACCTCCGCGTGTGGAGGAACCAAGGCCCAATCAGCCTTAGTTTGACAGTGGCCATTACTCTTGGTGTGATGTGTCTTACGACAGCACGTCATGTACTGGACAGGACAGGTAGGAAAAAAGTGTAAGGGGCACCATTACATCACATAAGTGGTATTGCCCCTGTACACTAACTATCCAGAGGAAACCCGCTTCGGCATTTATTGAAACATTAAAATGTGGCACATACATTCATTGATTATACATAAATTTGACATGTAACATCTTAAATTTAACATTTACCATGCATTTTATATATTAGGCATTGTAAACCTTATGAGTTTTTAGGCGATTCACAGAGTTTTTAAGGTACACAGTTCATTTGGTTTGTAAAGATATTCGAATAGTATTAAGTTCATAGAGATCATTACGTTTAGAGTTCATAGAGTTTGTAAGACAAACAGTTCTTAGTTATACGAAAAAGTCGTTTTGCACAGTTCATGTGAGGCTTATGTAGTTTATAAAGTGCACAGTTCTTATGATCTCTTGAGTACACTGTTGGTATGGTTTGATGAGTGTACAGGGTGTATCACTCATGGTTGGATTCTGTAGTATGCATGGTGCATTGATCGTAGTTTGCGAGGTGCACGCAGTACACCTGAGTCACTATTAGTTGTCTCTTGTATACTGGGGTTACATATACTATGCATTTGTGGTTATTGCTTATATAGCACATATGGGAATAGACAACTTAACATGCATCCTGCATAGGCAATTTTTAAACGGTTTGTTGATGACATCTGCAGCCGTTTGCGTTACCCTTCATAGCATACTATCCTATAGTATACTTCATAGCACATTTTGCAACTGCTCAGCCCCATTTTCACAGGAATGTACGAGAGCAGAAAAGTGTATTCCAACAACCTTGCATCGGGAATTCTTAAACGTATACTGGTGTGCTGCTTTTGAAAGTTTTGTAATTTTCTGATTGAATTGTATAAAGCGTAAGTGCGAAGAAAATAATGCTTAATCATAGCTAAAAAGATAAAAAAGGGGTTAGTAGGAGGGAGTGCAACAGCAGACAGGCAGACTGCGAACCTGAAAACCTTAGCAAACCGTTTTGGGCGAGCCTTAATATTCTGTCGAATATAATTTCAGACTTTTTATTTTTCCTTTTTCATTTATTTATATTTTTTCAAAGGAAGGTAGTTTTCATTATACTGTGGATCTTTATTTTTTCGTACCGGAAAATGAAAGACCTTTTTGCTTCTCTTCCTAGAAATGGATCGAGTTTGCTATAAAACCAAAGCTAACTTAAATTTGGAATTTTTACCTGATTTTATACTTGACACTGACGTTTCTTTTGACGTTAAAAAATAATTCACTAATTTACAAATCGCAGAATTACTTAGCTATGAGTATATTGACTATTTCAGAGGTGAGGTAAGAATAAACCAATAAAATTTATTGAAATGCATCTCGGTTTCAGATTTAAGTTTTTAAGTAATTAATTGTAGGAATTAATTTTACTCGCTGCTTAAAAATTAAGAAAATGTAATTTATTAATTACCTACGATGAGTTTTCAGTAAGTTTCATTTGAATTAGCAGCATGAGCTTTTACACAAGTTGTTCTTCTACGAAAGTAAAATATCGGACAATAAATAAATGCTTTTACTTATTTATTTTTTCTTTGTTGTAAATTCTTCTTTAAGAATGTTTGTTACCTTGGTGGAAAATATCAGCATGTCTACTTTTTAAAGATCAGAATTCAAAGGAACCAGATCACAAATTTGTGCTTATAATTGTTATTTAAATTTATTTCATGAATTAAAAAAAGATAATTTTTTATACTTGTAACGTTTGAGAAAAAATAATTAACACGAGGTATGAAAAAAGAATCGTCTGAAAACGTGTACTGAAGAAATAAAATAATTATATTTTATCGTAAGAAAATATTTGTTATTTTTAAATTTTCAGTATGTTAAAGATTGATATTTTATGAAAATGTATTATATTGGATAATTTTAATATTCGGGGTCATAACAAAGTTTTTGTCTTTATAATTAATATCGCAGGAAGATTAAAATACATTTTTATTAATTTTACAAGAATAATTTATGTTGTGCATATTCCAAACATGTAATATTAAAGAATATTTGTTTCTGTCGAATAACGTGAGTGAGAATATGTATTTGGCTACGGGAAGGTTACCTTTAAAATTAATTTCATTTGTTAAAAGGCTTTTTTACAAAAAGTAGACAGTTATTTTAAATGGTTGACTCTGTTTCAAAAGATTCACATATACCTTGAAAAGATGACACATACTTTATATGGTATAAGTGTTAATGGTGGTTTATAATAGAGCTAAATAGACAAAGGAATAAAAGGGGGGTTGGTAAGAGGGAATGTAACAGACTCTTAGACTGCGAGCTTAGCGACAGCATAAAAACTTTGATCCTCTTGGGCGACCGTTAAAATCGTAATTCTTTCAGAATTTTGATTGTTATTGCTTTTATTTTATTTTAAATATTTTTCACCATTATTTGCAGCTACATTGAATATTTTAGAATATTATTTACGGGTGCTTTTCGCGTGTGAAAATACATGGTACTAAATTAAAATTTACCTTTGATTTATTCATAACTAAATTATAAGTGACCCTTATGGTTACAAATGTGTTGAATCTTTACATTTCATGAGTTAAATGCGTATTTGCACGGCATGAATTGCGGTAGGAAGGAGTATTTAGTCTAAAAGACTTTGACTCCTAAAGTAGTTACCCTACGGGGTACGTCGTAGTGGGGAAGGAGACCACTTTATGATTTTAAAGTGGAGAAGTTTTTAGTCCTACTTGTAGAAAAATGCAATTATTATGGTAGTTCTGCTCGTGCTGATGTGCTGTGCATTTGCAGCAATGAATATAACAAAGTTTTATCTGTGGCGCCCTTCGTTGGCGAACCCATAAAATAAAAACCGTTTAAAGTTTTGAGGTACCAGAGTATAATGCATTATATAAAATAATGTAATGTACTAAATTTTGAAGCGAAATTTGCACAATTTATTCTTCAGATCTGAAAAATCATAACTTAGTATTTATAGGAATAAGAAAATCTTCTGTAGTTTCAGAATTCCTATTACGGCAATGTAGAAAATATTAGTAGAAAGTTAAAAAAATATAAAAATATCAATTTAAGTAGATTATGAGTACAAACACATCAACGAAAAAGACCTCATTTAAACCGATATTATTTTATCTGGCATTTAAAAGATAAATTTTTGTTTTATTCAGCACAATGAAATCCATCCTTTTTAAACTACCTAGATATATGTGAAATTCCACGATTTTCTGACCGTCGCAAAGACTTGGATTTCAGGTCTTTGCTTACATTTTTCTTTTAAGCAGAAATATCGGTTTCGCTTTGTCATACTACATTCTCGTCGCAAAATGCGTAAGATGTTGGGTCATGCGACGTCGTTTTGAAATGCGTTGTAAAAGTGCACCTGTGAATTTCGGTCTAAAAATAAAAAAAAAAAAATAAAAAAATTGAAATAATAATAATAATAATAAAAAAACGCAAGTACAAATGCTTTATTTTACTCATTTATACATTTTTGTAATTTTTCACAATTTTATTAAAAGACTGTAATTTTATGTTTGCTATATACTTTATTATTATTCGACACCATAAATATTGAACAGAGTATACATATTCAGTTTTTCAGTAACAAATCGCTTGGTTGTTATAACTGAATACAAGGACAGAGAATGGAAAAATATTCACCAAAAGAAATTAGGAAAAAACACGCAAAAAAATAAGTTAAAGATATATATATTTCTCACTTACGTATTTTTTTTTAAACCAAGTGTTTAAAATAGTTATTAGGAAAAAAATATACAATTATAATGAGTCCTAGATTGATTTGACATGTCGAACTAACAATTAATAATAAAAGACACAAAGAACTTGTTGAAAGAACTAGTTGATTTTAAATCGCTTAATTTGGTTATCAGTAAGAGGCAGGTTATATACTGTGAAGACTGGAAAAAAAAAAGTATTTTATGCTTCGCCAAATGGAAACAAATTGGAGCGTGAACATATTTCTTTGAAATTGCTGGTTTTGATGAAATTTGAAAGACAAATATCATAAGTCTTGCAGAGTGGCCATCTATTGCTTTGAAATCGCCGAGTTTGTTAATGAAAGTTAGTGCAAAGTATTAACTTTGCAAAAAGTAAATCTAAAAACTCGAAATTCGATGCGCACGTGACCAGGTGTATGATAATGTGTAGTCAAAACGGTGATCGTGAAATTTTAAATTGCCTTACGTGTGTTAAAATACTGCTAAGATTTTTTTTAGCAAATATCAATTTTTAAATTAGGTTAAGGCTTTCCATTTTGTTCTTTTTCTTTAATAAACATTAATTTATATTGCATTTATAGTAATTACGCACATGCTATTTAAAAGGAAAGATTCAATAGAGAGTTTCTTGCAAAACTGATATCTTTTTTAATGATGTAGTATAAAAATTGTCATAATTTTAAATAGTTTTAGTATTAATGTATTTAAATACAAGGTTATTTATAATTACATGACGTGAAACATTTCAGTTTTTTAATGTGTCAGATTTGTTTCACATATAGCTTTGCGAATTGAGCAGACATTTATTTATGTGGCACGCTAAGATTTATTCGAATGCCACGAAAATGCCGTAGATGCGAACAAAAAGCTGGCTGATACCACAGTTGCATGAAAATAATGGCAGATTCCTCTTTGAAGTCCCAGCTTGTCCTTCAATACGAGAGAAAGTAATATCGATATCTTTTCCAAAGTATCAAAATTTGCTGCAAAGCAGAGATGGTTGAGGAAAGTATCTGATTTTCAGTTTGCCACTGTAATGGGATGCAGGAGTAAATATAAGGCACTTTATGAAACATGGTAAGCCTAATTTTTATATTTTTTTGGTTGCTTTAATTAGAAATATTCTGTATTTTAAAAGCGGCATTTTTCTTTTCCATTTTTTAGCAGTTTCTTAAACCACTTGGAATTTCTCAGATAGAGGGGGCTCCACTGCTGCTTCTACAGGATGAGCTGGAAAAGAAAAGAATTTTATTACAAAAAGTGTTAACTGTATTTTGGATAGCTAGTCCATAAGACGTTTGGCCTCATGGCCTGGCAACACTACCAGGCATTGGTTTCTGGGTTTCCCCTAAAGATTCTCAATAGGATTGAGTCATTTAGGGTTTCTAGGTAACTAATTCATGACGCAGAAGTCAGAGGCATGGTGATGTCAGCATGCAGTAGGCAACTGGGACCTGTGAGAGGTGCAATTATCTTGCTGGAATACTGAATTTCCGTATGAAAGACAGGTGATGGAGGATGGGAATGCCTGAAGTTTAACAGAGGTTAACAGGCATATGTTACATAGCCCTACAGGGGCAACTGTTGAACATCTAGTAGTTGAGGTACATTTGCATTAACTTGTTGATACAGGCACGGTGAAAGAAACACTTAATAGGTATATAATGGATAGAGAAGATGGCCAGCCAGCAACTCCACAAACCGAAGCATACGGAGGGAGATTGATACAAGTAGCAAAACATCGAAATAGTGCCAAAGAGAAAACAGCCCAAACCATGATTAAGTCGCCATGGCCTGGCATGCAGGATCCATTGCTTCATGAGCATGACGCCTTATTCTGAGTGTGTCGTCGTTTTTTTAAGACTGATTACTCCCTGATACCAGTTTCCAGAGTATTCCAGAGTCCATTTTCCGTTTTCGTGTTCTGTGTAGCTCAGGGAATACTCGCAGCTAGATCAACATACACAGAGCAATGGTTCTCTCTTGGGCACCCGAAGCACTTATGAAGAAAATGTGGGTCGCATAGTCGGTTTACTGACTGAGCCCTGGGTGATGATAATTTAAGGTAATGTTTGGCTTGGCTGGCTATGCAGAACTGGGGTGAGACGTCTTTGGAATTTGCTCGCTGGCTATGTATTTTCTTGCTAACCCTGTATTCGAGGAAAAGTATTTGACAATGTCAACCCTATCTCTGTGACACTTTAGGGAACTGAAGAGCAACGTGTGTGGAAAGCGTCGGTGATCAAAGATGTGTAAAAATTTGACTACCATAGTACTAGATACACAGGGGTTATCTTACTAAATAAGAGGGAGGGAGGGAGGGAGTGTGTGTGTGTGAGTGGAGAGTGTGTGTGAGTGCGAGTATGCGAGTCAAAGAGAGAGTATGAGAGTGCGAGAGCGAGAGAGAATGCCTGTGAGTCAAAGAGTTAGTGTGTGATTGTGAGAGCAAGAGAGTTTGTGAGTGCAAGAGTGCGAGTGTGCAAGAGAGACTGTGTACGTGCCAGAAAGTATGTGACTGAGTGAGAGTGTGTGTGGGTGTGAGGAGTGTTTGAGAGAGAAAGTGCAATCACACACTCTCTCACAGTCACACACTCTCTCGACTGTGAGAGAGTGTGAGCGAGAGCTAGAGAAAGTGGGAGTGTGAGTATGAGTGCAAGAGAGAGAGTGAGTGGGTGCGAGAAAGTGTGTGTGTGCACGAGTGCGAGAGTGATAGAGAAAGAGCGAGTGAGAGGATGAGTGGAAGAGAGAGAGTGAGTGTGAGGAACGTTTGAGAGAATATACTCTTTCTCGTGACACACAGTCTTTCGCACTCCCTCTCCCTCTCTCTTGACTGCAAGAGGGAGTGTGTTTGAGTGTGCGAGACAGAGTGCACTCTCTCTAGCACTCACACACACTCGAGTGCGAGTGAGAGTTGAGTGTAAGAGACAGTGAGTGGGTGTGAGGAGGGTTTGAGAGAGAGTACTCTCTCTAGCACAATCACTCTCGCTCTCACACTTTCTCTCTCTCTCTCTCGAGTGCGAGAGGGAGTGAGTGTGTGCAAGTGTGAGAGCAACAGAGAGTGAGTGAGAGTATGAGTGCAAGAGAGTGAGTGGGTGTGAAGAACATGTGAGATACTCTCTCTCGCTCACACACCTCTCTTTCACTCCCCCTCTCTCGAGTGCGACAGAGTGCGTGAGAGAGTGTGTGAAACTACGGAAGAGAGAGTGCACGTGAGTGAGAGTATGAGTGCAAGAGAGAGAAAGTGAGTGAGTGAGTGTGAGGAGCATTTGAGAGAGTATACTCTCTCTCGCACTCACACACTTTCTCCACACTCTCTCGGGTGCGAGAGAGTGTGGAGAAACATTTATATGCGAGAGAGTGAGTGAGAGTAAGTGGATGTAAGGAGCGTTTGAGAGAGTATACTTTCTCAAACGCTCCTCACATCCACTCACTCTCCCTCTCGCACATACACGCACACTCTCTCTCTCGCAGTGTGAAAGAAAGGTGTGATTGCGAGAGACAGGGAGCGTGTGGAGAAAGTGTGCGAGAGTGCGAGAGAGAGTATACTCTCTCAAACGCTCCTCGCAATCACTCACTTTCTCTCTCCACATTTCTACTGATGACACTGCACGTAAGGAAAATACTGGTGCCGGTTGTACTGTGAAGGATATTTTGCGGAATCCTATTCTGTTGATCTGAATGCCTCTAACTTCGACGCAGAGATTTTTGCCACAGGAAAGGCAATTTTAAATCTTCTTGTACCTGATACTAACTTTAGCAAGGCAGTTATATTTGCTCACTCCCGAGTGGGCAGCTGTCTCATACACCTACTGATTACTTTCTTGTTGAAGAGACCAAGATAAATGTATCCAATGCAATGGCTTTTGGCTCGGAGCTTGTTTTTCAATGGATCCCCAGCCACTGGAAATGAAAAAGCCCATCTTCTGCCTAAAAATGGCTGTAGGCTGTAAGCTATCCTGGCGCAGCCCTTGTTTGTCATAAAATCTTGTCGATTAGGTGGATGGGGCTGCGCCCTATTTGTACCCTAGCCACATTATGCTATAATGATTTGAATATCTGAATGATAAAAATGCCATTACTTTAGCCACATTTCTCACTCTCCAATTAACAGTTTAGTTCTGAGGCAAAGAGGAAAGTGGACCAACTTTTAAATGTATAAACTCCTTTCAACCTGATAAAGTGTGGAATACTCTTGTATTTTCGCCTATCCCAGTGGACATACCCCGTGCATTCTTTACGGCAAATTTTCAACTCTCGACAAGGACATTTTATATAAATACCTGCACCGCATTGGTGTAGTTGCTGATGATGTCCGTCCGGTGAAACCATGGACTTTCTTCATTTGACAACTTGTACTGCACTTCATTTTATGATTTTAATTCTGACAACTTTCCAAAGGCTAAATTTTAATGGGGGCTGCCAGAGGTTTCATGGCAGATATCGCTACTACTGACTGACATAGGGAAGAGCATCTTAGCTGCATTTAAAAAGAGCATAAAAATGTGTTATCATACTTACTTTGACAGTTCCCATCGTAAAAGGTGACGTCATCAAGAGCAAAGTTTCCATCAGTGGTTTCACCTTCAAATTCAATCTGCATTGAAATAGATAATAATAAACTTGTTAGAGAAGATTTCAATTAAATTCATAGTAAATATATAATGTGCACACCATGCGACTGCCTTGTACTGACTATTGAAATTTTACTTTTTAAAATTCCTACTATCAGCTCACACTCAACCAATATCTTGTGCAAATTTTCAATTGTTAATAAAATACTTTCTATTCGTCCACTGAAGTTCAAATACATTTTTTTAAAGTTGTAGTTCATGACACTTGATGTTAATATAATTTTTTCACATATTTAAAATTTTGTTGTATTTTTAAAATATTTCTGTGTTGATCTAAGTAGGAATTGACTTTAGACAATTTTTTTATATTACTTGTATCCCTGCAATTTCTTTAGACTTATTTCCTCGAATTTCATTAGAAATGCATTTCTGTTACAATCAATCACTTCGCAGCAATGCAAAAGTACATAAACACTTCAAACATCTTCATTCGAAATTGTTAAATACAGAAAAATCTAAAATACCAAATACAGTAAACAACCCAAACAAAGTGAATTTATTGGTTAGCAAGTGTGAAGCGACGCCACTAAGAAAAATCACTCTTCCAAAACTAGAATTATTCGGCGCTTTGCTTGCCGCTCAGTTAGCAAGCAAAGTCAAGGAAATGGTGCATTTAAAAAAAGGCGCTCCTTGGTGTTTTTTGGACGGATTCAAAAATCACTCTGTTGGATTAAGAGGACAACAAAATGATAGAAATCATTTGCTGCCAACAGAGTTAACGAAATATAGGGTTTAAGTGATACCAGTGCCCTGGGAAAGAAAATCTCGCAGATCTCAGCAGGAGAGTTGGTGCTGACATTTTATTGAATAGGTAACATTTGGTGGCATGGCCCAGTTTCTGAGAGAAAAGACTGATGTTTCTGTAGACAATAATGACATTCTAATTTTTTTAGATGATTTTTTTGATGAACTAAAGAAAGCCAGTGATCCTAATGATTATTCTCCTACTGTCTTTATTGTTTTTAATCATAGTTCTATAGCTGATATTCTTTCCTTGAGTAATAATTAACTCTATTGTTCATGTTATGTATTTATATTTATCAATAATGTTAAAACTAATGAAAAGCTTACCTGAAAAAAAGGGAAACATTTTAAGATCTACGCAAGTACAAAAGTACGAGTTATTTTCATAATGAAAGGGAAAAACTGTTCCTGATCAGAATTTTCTTTAATTTCTAAAGACAACATTTTAAGTCAAAATACACAAAGTAATACATATAAGATGTACAGCATTTATTTCATAATAATTTGCACTGTTCAGCAGCAAAGTCCTCCTTATAAAACAGAGGTATCCTGCATAATTTTCACCTATTTTAATTTCAAACTAACCTTAAAAAAGTCTGGATTGCTCATTGTTTTTGAGAAATGATTTGTTTTCTATAGAGAAAGCAGTTTTTAAGCAGAAAAGGCACTAACGTGAAGCAAACTGTGTATCTGTTGAATACGAATACTGTTGCATTGCTTTAAATTTATCTTTTACAGAATGGCAATGAAAATATTGTTTACTTTAAATATGAATCTCTTAATTCTGAGGATAAATTTGATCATTTATTTCAATGCATGAAACCGAACTCGCCAGCTTATTAGAAGATTTTGCTCTCTAAAGAGAATTATGGAAAAGCTATTGAGCTTTTTAAATCTTATTTGGCAAGGAAGAGTTTTTAATTGAATATTACATATGTGAAATCAAGTGTATCCGAGTTAAAATGACATGCAAATAGCTATTATTATTGCAGGAGTTAAAGCAACAAGAATTAGCACAATATTTATAAATTCACAGGACTAGTTTTGAAGGTTTAATATAGAAACTCCTTCTTCAACTGCAGAAGTGCAAATGATGAAGGAAAAAGCAGTAATAAGATTAGGCAATAAGAATGATAAGAAGGATGTCAAGCTGCTGGCACCCTCTACTGATGATGAAAAATGAAAACAGCTGTCAAATAATTTCATTAGAAACTGAGGGTAAAGACAAGACGGATTGGAACTGGGATTGCTAACTAGAACTGAAAGATTTATATCAAAGTGAAATGCCTTTAGAAAATCTAATTTAAATAATCTTAAATAAAATTATTAATAATTAATCTTAAAATAATTTAATAACTTAAAATTTTAGAATATTGCACATGTTTATGGAGCTCAGTAATAATCATATCAATACATAATATAGTATAGAATACTGTTATTTATGCTGCATTGTTATGAAGAATATTTTATGTAAAGAAGCTGTAAGAAAATTGAAGCACATATGCTTCAATTCAAGGACTAGGAAGGAAGAGGGTACTGAAGGATGATTGCTACATGGGGGGCTGGTTGGGCAAAGCACTCAAGAGCTATCTGCCCAAGATAGAAGAGATGCCTTCTTCCCTTTGTGGAGGGCTTTTTATGGAACACTGGTTCATATACACATTATACATGGGAAAAACTACAAAAACACCCATGCAGCCATGCCCCATCTTCAACGGAATTTGAACTCAAGACCAATTTACCAGTGTTCAGCATTACTTGGCTGCTAGTGGACCCCTACACTGGGGGAAGAGGAAGTTGGAATCATGAGTCTTTCACTAATCAAGCATGTCTGAGACATAGTAGGCCGCCAGATTCGGGCACCACAAAATATCACAGATCTGGAGTGACAACTGATGAATGCCTGGCAAAATGTGTCGCTGGATGACATTAGGAATCTCTACCACTCCTTGCCTCAACGAATTCAAGCATGAGTTGCCACCAGGGGCGGTTCGACCAACTACAGTCAAAAGTCGTGAATCCGGACTCATCGGGACTTTGGTGATTCCGGATTATAGATCACCAATTTAAATCTGGTAAAATGGCATGCCGAAATTATAAAATTAAAAATATGAAACCGTAATTAATGAAATAAAGAACAATTATGATATAAAGGGTATCAAAATTTACAAAATAAAAGCTTAATATTTATTTGTTTACTTTATTCATTTCTTCCAACGCGCGCATGCGTAAAGCATACATTACGCATAGTCGAAATTAGAAAATTGCAACCAGAAAACTATTTGATGTGTACTCGTGATATATATAATGACGAGGAATTTGATTTAAATCATATCAAAGACGGAATACATCGAGATGAAATACTACATTTAGTAAGGAATTATAAGCTGAATAAAATAAAAAACATCTGCCCTGAAAATAAGGATGGTGCTAACAGATCAACTTCCAGTTCATTGCGTGCCGCGATGTCCCCTCCCCACCCCCCGCAGAGCAGCGTGAAATTGATAAACAGATTTCGGAATGGTTAAGAAACAAAGATATGCCTTTATCCATTTTTTGCAGCAATTCCACTTTTTGTTTCATGGACTTCGAAACATACTTTCGCTTTGTAGATCCTTTACATATTAGTAAATATATATCGGAAATTCTATTTGACATAATCGAAAGTTCAAGCTTACTTTTATAAAATTGCTCTAACAGTCTGCAAAAAATAATAAGCCGTATCCAATTTGAAGATTAAGGAACAATGCAATCTGCAACATTAACTGAATTAGATCATTTTAGCTTAGCTTATACCGTCCGTTATACATTAAACGTGCATGCGTAAACGTATTATGCGCATGCGCACACGCATATTCGCAGCCGTAAAGGTCTTACGCGCACGCGTAAACGCGATGCATGCGCAGAAAGTTTGTAACTTTGAGGTCCGGATTATAGATTATTCCAGATTATGGCTCTCCGAATTAACGACTTTTGACTGTACTATAGAATTTGAACATTCAGTGGGTGACTGTGAGCCATGAACAGGTACTATGACCTTAATTTTTTCATTATTTTATTATCTATGTATGAGCTATATACATATTCAATTTCATCAAAAACAACCACTTCCTCCATGGTGCTTTGATTTTTTTTGCGAAAGAGAGTATTTCAGAGTATGAATTACCATTGACTTGTGCTTTGCACTACAGTGTCTGATGGGATTTCTGCACAAACTACTAGAATCTTATCCAAGTGTGTCAAGGTTGCATGGTTAACAACAATACGCTTCATTTTTTACTGTGCCTCATACAAAAAAATCAAGCAGCGTAAGGTGTGAAGAGCATACACGGAACTCAACTGGTTCCCTGCACCCTATCAAAATGTCCTAGTACATTTTGATCCAGGTATGCTATGTAGAGGAGAGGTGTCATCTTGCTGGTAATACCCTATCATTACCACATATTGCAAGAATGGCAAGGAAAATGGAATCACCAAGCAATGTTAAATACTCTTCTCCAGTTACAGTACCTTCAAAACAGAAAGACCCTATGATACCTTAGGAGACAAACCACACCAGGAAAATTCACAGCTTTTCAACAGTAATGTGGAGATTATTTTCAATCCATTACACACAATTATGCGTAGTGACATTTCCATTAAGTTTAAATTGTGCCTCATTTGACTAAGCAATGCTATCCATAAACCCCGAATCGCGTTTAAAGCACCTTCTGATCTCGTTCACAAAGCTGTACCCAGCGATTAGGGTTATCATCACTTAGCTGTTGCCCCAGCCTTGGAATGTACCCTAAACTTGCCCTTTTTCAAAATGTATAGCACACTACTAGCACTTACACCACTCTCATGCAAGCCTTGCTTGACGATTGGTTTTGGTGAATGTTGAAACAGTTCCACCACCACAAATGAAGATTCATCACTTGTAGCCATACAAGGTTGGCCTGATTAGCTTTTATGCACATCACACATTGTTCCACGGACCTTAGATTTTTCTTGTACACATGTAATTATTACTCTTGAAAGCGGATTAGTCCCACACTCACACCTCCACTCTCTCTGAACTACAGCAATATTTTCAAACTTTCACTACCACTTAATAACCTGCATCTGCTCTTGAAAGCTCAAACATATGTCTGCTATGTTGATGTTACTTCACTTGACACTAACTGGATTGTACAGCTAGATCAATGACTGCTGTTACCTACTGAGGAAACATAACATTACGTTTTCTTAGAAATTTAATTTTGTAGGTAGGAAAATAAATTTTCTATGACAGTTCAAAGTATGTATACATTTTTCTGATGCACACTGCACATTACATTTAGAAGTTCACCTTGGATATTGCAGAATCTTAGCAGAAATTTTACTTTATTTCCATTTTAAATTTTGCTCGTGAGGATAAAAGACTTACCTTATTTTCATTCCCTGGATCTCTATACAACATTTTACAACATTTTTTCAACTTCTCCATTTTGGGCACTTTTGACATAGACAGGAACAACAGCTTGGTTGGTCAGTTTCTAAATAATAATTTTGATTAATTTCAGAACTTATAAAATATTCAGATTATTCAATTCAATTAAAGAGTAAAAAAAGATATACAGAAATATTAAAATCAATCATAAACATAAAAAGATTTTAATTTTTAAATCTAAATCACTCTAAATCACTAAAAATTTAAATATAAGGCTTACTTGATTTTCAGAATGTAAAACATAAATAAGTGCCAACCACCTGCATACAATGACAGGCACAAAGTTTAAAACACCTAGCATGGAAGTATTTTTTAAGAAATGACTCAGTCATTATTTTTAAATAATAAAACTTTTTATTCCTTACCACAAATTATTGAATGCAAATATCAGGGGGGGGGGGATAACTGCAGCCAAGAAATTTTTTCAAAACTTGAATGTACAAACATTCACTTCAGTGGAAGCATTAGTAGAATGCCTGTCTTACATGTACATCACAGACAGTCCATTATATCATACTGAATAGCTTGTATTATCCAGAAATGCTGACCTTACAGAAACACTTAAATAATGCAGAAAAATGGAGTTGGAGGATAAAACATTTTCCAAAAAGGTTGTGGTTTGATGAAAATTTTTTTTCTCTGATCAAAGAAACACAAGTATTTGCATTCGAGAGCACACTTTTTACAAAATGCAGCATCACACTAAATAGTCAAAAGATGCTTTAATTTCTATTTGCATGAGATCACCTGTGTATGCTGCCCCACAAGATATTACTTCACATATGTCTTTTATAAAGAATATACTAACATCCTCTAACAACAAAATTCAGTTGTTGCAAGTTTTATACATGTGATATGATTCTTCCACAAACGTTTTTGAAAGAGTTATACATTTCATATTATGGTGGTATAACTACGAGGGTATACTTTGAGCTTACATTACTGCAGTGGCTCTCAAGTTTTTTTGCCCCATGCAACTCCAAAACTGAAAAATGCATATACATCTACTTAAATTTAGATTATTTTTAATGTTCTTTTAATTAAACCAAAAGTATAGAAAATGTTGATAAAACTTGAATAAGAGTAATTTTTTATATACATAAACTAAAACAAGTTAAAGAGTAAATGGCTGACCACATCCCACACATGAGCCATGAAAATTTTTCCCCCCAAGGGGAAATTTCAACCTAGCTGAGAACCCCTGTGTTATTGGGTATATATATTTCAGCCCATTCCATACATGTCATATATATACATTTTAGGGAAGAAGCATCATAAGTAGAACTTGATGATAGAATTATTTTATTTATTAACAAGTACATAAAACTTGTTAATAAATAAAATAATATGTTAGAATATGGATACATATTAGCTTCAATCATTAAAACATTTGTATAAAATAAATATGTTGAAACACCAGGAACATTAAACTGCAGTTCTGACAAGATCTTCTCTCGGAATATCTTTCGCTAGTCAAGTCATGAAGAAAGAAAGACCAATCAAAGAGTACCAATGCAAACATTTATAGTGAACTATAGTTTTACAGTATAAAGCTATATGGCTTGTCATATACCTACATATGCATACCCGCAATGGAAAAACTCATCCTTCAGAACATAACTACAAAAAACAGTGTGGAAATTCTACATGCTGGCTGTAATCTCCTATTCCTAGTAATTGTCTCTATAAGGAGATAAACACTAGTTGTGCATACTTATTACATCTGGACTGAAAGACTTCTCCATTTTGGGCACTTTTGACATAGACAGATGTGTTAAATAGCTAGTGCAGTACATATATCTTACGTTCAATTTCACATACATCCATTTCTATCCATTGACCTATAAGCAAAATACATATTGGCCATCTCAGCCTAGTATAATATCATTATACTAGGCTGAGATGACTCAGATGTCATCTCAAGTCAATGACTCAGATGGTAGTAATATTTAATTTATTATTTAACAACACCTTTTAGCACCTTTAGCTGGCATTTCTTGACACATGGTCCAACAAAAGTATGATTTTTTTAGTATTCTGGATATATCAAGGAAATTCGGAACATGGCTTTTGTAATACTTAATCTAGAGGAATAAAAGTAAACAGGCAATTCAGTTTATTATGAAAAACACATATCATAGATAATTCTAGCTGTGTTACAGTAGTTTTCCCTTCCCTATGTTTCGGAAATCTCCACCAACAGAATTAATATTTTCACTTAATTACATATTAACCTGTCATTTACTATTCTTTGGAATTCAGTTTTTTCACATCTGCAGATACAAAAATCTCCTTACTGACTATAAAGTTCTTAATATTTTAGCTTGTGTTGCAACATACAAATGATAAACATAAAGAGGTCAATATTTAATATATGGTTTGATTTAGTTGATTATGGCAAAGCACACTAGGGCTATCTGCCTAAAGGGATGCCATTGTAGAGAACATTTTAAGGGAAACTGGCTCATATACACGTTACACATGAGGAAAATCATGAAAATGCCCAAGCAGCTAGCATGTTCGCCTGTAATCAAACCCAGGTCATACCTACCACTGTTCAGCGATTTTACCGCTCGCCCATTGGTGGGCACATTTAATATACGAAAAAATTCTGAAGTCTTACATATTAACTGTGTTACTGCAAATGAAATTCCAGTTTGCATAGACACCTACATGGTGTGGTTATTAAATAATGAGATTGATCTCTGTCCATAACATACAGTAATGAACAGCTCACATTAGATGAATTCATTAGAGAGAAGAAAAAGACAGCTGTTGCTTTCACTCAAAATCAATCTGAGAGCAGTAATTGAAAGGACAAGGGTGGAAGCTTCGTCATGTCTGATGCTAAAAAGCAAGCAATGGTACCTTTTGAACCTTTTTTTGTTTCAACCTTTTGAAATTTTAAAGAAAAATTTCCAAAGGAAAGGAAAAGTATGGTAGGCCATTATACATTCAGTATAAAGGTGAAATATGTTGTTTTGTATACATCTAAAAATAAATAAAAATTGATTTTTCTCGAAACTTTTATGTTGGTCATTTAAAAAAAAAATTGGAGTTGGGGGGAGGGTAAAGTAAACAAAAAATAAAATATGGAAGAAAATATGCACATTCAGATTTTATCACCAGCTTTTTTTCCCTTGTAAACCAGTGATTTTATCACTAAGATTTTAAAAACCTCAACAAATTAATTCAAATAACATACACAACTATGTTCACTCCACCTTCTAATATTACAAGAAACATATATATTACTAGAACTTGAAGCTCTTGCTCATTTTTTAAAGTTGTGCATTATTCTTTTGCAAACATGGAAATTAAAACTTTTTTTACAACTATGTAAAACTCAAACTAAATTGGCAAGTTCAATGTTACTTGTAGATTCCTTCAATTTTAGAAAATAATATATACTAAGATATCTGTTAACGAATTTGAATATTCTATTTGCATGACTAACTATAAACTACAAAAATTTGTGTCTCAGATATTTTAGAGGAATATTACTGCAAAATATGTAACTGTAAGATTATACATATTATAACTCTAATACATAACAACAGCTAGTAGAAGTACAGAATAAACAATGTTTAGCTATCTTGTTATAATTATTTCCATTTATCTAACATATAAATGTTATAATTACTATGCAAACTTATTTTTCTGAAGATATTACCTGTATTGCATCTTTGGTATCTAGGCAAAAATTACAGTCTCCAAAAATAAAGAATGGTACTTTCTCATATTGGTCAGTAGAAAACCTGTAATATATCAGTTTTATAACTTGTAATATATCATTATCTAAAATAGATACTAAGCAAAACAAAACAAAAACAAAAAAGCATTCAAGACAAATTGCAAAATGGCTATGAGATAATATTACAACAACTTTTTTAGTGTAACACAGTCTTAGAAATTTGAAATAATAACATAAAATTGTATAATAAAAAATAATAAAATTAAATGCCTCAGCTATAAATATGAAACTGATCAATTTGTCACAAATTTAAAATAACTATATACACAGTAGCATATTTAAAAGAACAAAATGCATAATCCAACTTGATGTAACCTTCAAATATGAACAAATAAAAATAAACAAACATAAAGGATCATAACACTATGCTCAATAACTAATGCTAATATCAGAAATTATTTTTAAATACTCAAGAAAGAATACTGTTCTCCTTTATTTTCAAAA